ATCAATAGCACCCTCAGTTAAAGCTGTAATAATGGCATTTCATTGTAGATTTGGCAAACTATCCAGTATGGTATGGTTTGCGCTCTGGAGATCGGTTTCTATTTTAATGTGTTTTGCAGTGCTGAGCAATAGCCAATCTGGTGATTTCTTGTGTGCAACAGTCAATCAGAGGCATTTAAGAATCCACTCACCACTCAAATCTGAGTTTTTGCAGGTGTTGTGTTCAGTACGAATCATCTCATTATAACAAACTGTAGGCACAGTGTAAATAAGAGATTCACTGTGCAGCGTAGAGACCTTCATTGATTATAATGTAACTTTGTGAGATCGCGATGAACTAAGATGAGTGACAGCTTTTTAGTAATTATAAACAGAGTGCTCTTTGCACAATAGCAATAGACGGCACTAAAACCTTTATATAACCTATATTAAGGTTAAAGCATACTTACTAATTTAAGAAGCACCCTTAGCAAATTGATTCTGGAGCCGGGCCTGAGCAGACGTGGTAATTAATATTGCTAATTATTGCTATGACAGGCTCATAACAGGCAAGACATGGGAAATACAGTTGCAAATGGACTTTGCTTTTCCATTTGATATTTGGCAGTCACTGTGTGTTCACGAAAGTGAAAACGCAAATGGTAATGCAAGATTTGCAATTCCTTTCGAAAATAGTCCAGAATATCCTTCCCATATACATCATTATCATAAATGCAAATGCATAAATATTATACTCTATATGTACACTCCTCAGTATATTACCATGTTAGTTTTTTTTTTAACAAGGGATTCTTCAAGTCACTTAATCTTCTACTATCTACAGGTGATTAAAAAAAGAGATGAATCTAATGGATATTAATATTGTGTCTTTTTAGGGCATAGAAATCAACTAAAATGAATTTCAAAATTGTGAAAATTGTCATTGTACATTTTGATGGATTGATTTTAATCAACTAGCAGGCATCAGACCTCTCCTCACCTGCTTTTTTAATAGTTGTTTTTAAACAACAATAATTGGAAGAGCCTTTCTAAAAATATAAAGAAAAAGACAAATGCTAAAATAAAATGCGTAATGCGTAAATTAAATGATGGCTTTAGTCAAATAAATAGTTAAAATCGGTTAATTAGTTCATATCTACATCCCTAGTGAAAATCAAAGACAGGATCGAAGATGTTCACGTGCATGGTCATATGTTCAATGCATTTAACTGAGGTCAGAAATTTGTGGAAGTTTAGAACAAATCTTACTGGACTTGGGTCTTTGAACTCTGAAAGTTATAGTATATTTTGTCAAAAAATGTTACTTTCATTTAAACATTAAATACAATTTTAATTAAATGATTTCCCATCAAATTGACTTATACTTACATCTCCCTATTAACTATTGCTCTGTTCCAAAACCTGTTGAGCTTCCTCATCAGGCAACAGGTCACAAGATATATAATAAATAGTCATTTGGAGGCAGGCGGCAGATTATCAGGTTTAACAGAGCTTGCATGTAGAATATTTGGTATACAAAATAACGAAATTATGAATTATGAATACTATAATAAAACAGTTACTTACCATATGGGGGTGATGGTTCTGGTCTTGTGACTGTACAGAGTAAATGTAACACTTTCCTTATGGTAGTATTCAGTTTAAGGCCTTCAAAAGTCTCAATAAGAACCCGCTCAGGTGATCCAGCTATTTCACGCAGCTCAGATTTCTTTATATCATTGCCAACCCCAATAACAGTTATTAATATGTTCTTGTTTTTGAGATAACTTAATGCATTCAAGTCCTTTGCATCATTAGCATATCCATCTGTGATCAGCAGGAGATTCTGAGCGACTCCATCATCTATTCTGGATCCATTCTCTTTTGTGAAATAGTATCTAATATTTCTCAGGGCGTCCCAAGTACTTGTGCCCTGCTTTTGTTGTACAATGTCATTTATAGCTTTCTCCACTTCTGTAAAACTAGTGTAGTTGTTCAGGTAAAACTCCTTCTGGAATTCACGGCTGAACTGGGCAACACCCACTCGCCATTTGTCTTGAGCAATATCCAGCTCTTTCACAATGCCAATCATGGTTTTTTTGAGAGTATTCCAACTTGCATCCATAATAGTCTCTGATCCATCAATTAAAAAAACAATGTCTGATACCTCCATCTCACAAACTAGAAAGAGAAAAAACATTACGACTACATTAATGGACAGTTCTGGAAAGCAACATTAAAACTATAAATTGGCTGGCCACAACCTTCTCATTACTTAGGGACTATTTACAATTGGTCACTTCAGATCACGCATTTGTACCGATAGTTACAGATAGTTCAGTAGGTGGTCTAAGACACATACAAGATGCCACCTAACCACATAAGCAATCAACATATGGGCAAACAACCATGGATGAAGCAACTATGAGACACAAACACTAAGCATGATATGGGGACAAAGAGTTTTGAAATTAATTATATTGCCATATATCATTAAGCGTTGATCTGTATTTATGTGAAGTATAATTGGACATCAATCTGATCAATCAAGATGCATGTGCAAGTGACTAAGCAGAAACAGGCTCTTAAAGTCAACTTACTCTATTGAAAAAGTAGTTACTTTCTGACAAAATGCAGTGGTCAACATATTTTTAAATATATCGAATGATATTATTTAATCAGAAGATACATTCACATTGAGCTTTTAAGTTCATTTCCAGAAAAATGTATGTCTGGTTTCACAGACAGGGCTTAGATTAAGCCAGGATTAGGCCATTGTTCAATTGGGACATTTAAGTAGATTGTATAAACGTGCCTTAGATAAAAAAAAAAAACTCTACTGATGTGCATCTTGAGACAAAACATTGGAACTGACATATTTTAAGATCAGTCAGAGCAAGTTTCTTTCAGTTAAAACAGCCGGACATGCATTTTAGTCTGGGACTAGGCTTAAATCTGTGAAACTGGGGGAAGTGTTTTGTGATAAGAATTAGATTTACTTGGTTTGGTAAGATTGCAGAGCTCTTGGGTGATCCGTTTTTGTAGTCCACGCAGATCCTGGTAGGTGTTTGCATAGTGCACTCTTCCTTTATTTTCCACCATCTCCTTTAGCTGTTGTTCATCTGCATCTTCGGTACCAATAGCAAAAAAGTTGACCTCTGAATTTGTCAGTGATTCAGGCCATGTAGCCAGACCACTTAAGTCATTAACCTTGCCGTCTGTTATCAGGAATAGCACTTGGGGAACATTCTTTGCTCGTCGTCCACCATGTGTATCACCAAAGTAGGAGAGTGCATAGTTCAGGGCTTGGGCTGTGTTTCTGCTTCCTCCTGAAGCTTTGAGGTTTGAGATAACCCTCAGAATATCAGTTTGACTGTAGTACTTATTTAGTGTGAACTCCGAACGAGGGTTATTAGAGTAGGTGACGGCGCCAAATCGTACCCGTTTTTCTCCAACCACAGATTTGCTTACCGTATATTTCATTAAGTTTATCATTTCCTGAAAACCATCTTTATTGGGACTTCCAGAGGTGTCAACAAGGAAGATTATGTCAATCAGTTCGGGTCTCTTGCATTCTGGAAAGATACATGCTCATTATGTAAGAAGACATTTGACAAATGCACCTTTGCTTTTATTTGAAGTGGTTATTACTATAATACAAATGAAAGCTGACAAGCACAAGGTGGCCAAACTGGCCCCGGCCATTGTTTCACAGCCGAAAAAGAAAAGGAAAACACTCAACAACAATAATCTACCGGAGACTGCAATATCAATTGACGGCAGCGTTGACAAGCACTCATGTGAGGGGGGTTAAGAGATATCTGCAACTTTTTAAAATGAGTATAAAGACAGTGTTATCTGTCATAACTTCTAGTGAGATATAGCACAGACTGGACAAAGATGATTATCAAAAGGAGTATAGTTTGAAATGCAGCACGTTCAGCTGTCTGCATATGCTGAGCCACTTCACCCAGCAAACACAGAACGTTCCCCTAACGTTAGTTTTTGGTTCCCGTTTGGTTATTTTTTTGAGGGGGGGAACCGAATACTAACGTTAGGGGAACGTTCTTTTTAGTTTTTTTGTAACCATAAAATAACGTTCCCAGAACGTTGCATGGTGGTTATTATTAAATAACCTAAAAATAACTTACAGAGAACATTCCCTAATGGTTAGTTTTAGGTTATTTTTGCAACCATAAAATAGCATTCCTAGAACGTTGCAGGGTGGTTATTTTCAAAATAACCTGAAAATAACTTATACAGAATATATTATAACTATAATATTATATTTTATAATTGGTAAGATTGCAGAGCTCTTGGGTGATCCGTTTTTGTAGTCCACGCAGATCCTGGTAGGTGTTTGCATAGTGCACTCTTCCTTTATTTTCCACCATCTCCTTTAGCTGTTGTTCATCTGCATCTTCGGTACCAATAGCAAAAAAGTTGACCTCTGAATTTGTCAGTGATTCAGGCCATGTAGCCAGACCACTTAAGTCATTAACCTTGCCGTCTGTTATCAGGAATAGCACTTGGGGAACATTCTTTGCTCGTCGTCCACCATGTGTATCACCAAAGTAGGAGAGTGCATAGTTCAGGGCTTGGGCTGTGTTTCTGCTTCCTCCTGAAGCTTTGAGGTTTGAGATAACCCTCAGAATATCAGTTTGACTGTAGTACTTATTTAGTGTGAACTCCGAACGAGGGTTATTAGAGTAGGTGACGGCGCCAAATCGTACCCGTTTTTCTCCAACCACAGATTTGCTTACCGTATATTTCATTAAGTTTATCATTTCCTGAAAACCATCTTTATTGGGACTTCCAGAGGTGTCAACAAGGAAGATTATGTCAATCAGTTCGGGTCTCTTGCATTCTGGAAAGATACATGCTCATTATGTAAGAAGACATTTGACAAATGCACCTTTGCTTTTATTTGAAGTGGTTATTACTATAATACAAATGAAAGCTGACAAGCACAAGGTGGCCAAACTGGCCCCGGCCATTGTTTCACAGCCGAAAAAGAAAAGGAAAACACTCAACAACAATAATCTACCGGAGACTGCAATATCAATTGACGGCAGCGTTGACAAGCACTCATGTGAGGGGGGTTAAGAGATATCTGCAACTTTTTAAAATGAGTATAAAGACAGTGTTATCTGTCATAACTTCTAGTGAGATATAGCACAGACTGGACAAAGATGATTATCAAAAGGAGTATAGTTTGAAATGCAGCACGTTCAGCTGTCTGCATATGCTGAGCCACTTCACCCAGCAAACACAGAACGTTCCCCTAACGTTAGTTTTTGGTTCCCGTTTGGTTATTTTTTTGAGGGGGGGAACCGAATACTAACGTTAGGGGAACGTTCTTTTTAGTTTTTTTGTAACCATAAAATAACGTTCCCAGAACGTTGCATGGTGGTTATTATTAAATAACCTAAAAATAACTTACAGAGAACATTCCCTAATGGTTAGTTTTAGGTTATTTTTGCAACCATAAAATAGCATTCCTAGAACGTTGCAGGGTGGTTATTTTCAAAATAACCTGAAAATAACTTATACAGAATATATTATAACTATAATATTATATATTATAATTATAACCCTGTAAAACTATCTTTCCAATTAAAACGTTGCAGATGTTTTTTGTGTAATGACCTATACAGAGCACTGAAATTCGTTTAATGCAGCATTTATTAAAATACAGAAATTAGAACAATCAAAACACATTTTAAATTATAATATTAAGTCAGGGTTAAGCATAGAGTGATAACAGAAATCATAACTTCGTGGGTTTGTTTCATCTTCATTTACTGGGCGCCTCTGATTCGCACGTGCTGCTCCAGCACTAGGGATGGGCATATCAATCCTGAAGTATCGATATATCGTTACTGACATGAGTATCGAAAGTATCGATACTCAAACAAAAATATCGATACTAAGGTGTGTTTTATTTACCAGTGATTTTGTTTATTTAACAATAAATTAATGCGTACAATATGCATTGAATTGGACAAATAAGTTATGTTAGCGAATAATTGTGTAGGATAGGCCTATTTTCCTGCTCATCTGAACACACGCAGATGTTGCAAGACAGAATCAATGTCAATGTCAATCAATCACGGAGAGCGTTTACTCACTTCTAACAGTGCATTCAAACAGAGCTGCGTTTCCCAAAATTATCATAAGAAAGCTGCTGCTTTTGGGAATGGCAGCCCAGAACAATGCTTATCAGTGGACAGAAAAAACGTATATGTTTGAGTTATTTCACAATAAAAAAAATTGAAATTGTAGCCTACATAGTTTGTGCAATTATATTTATTTAAATTGAACGTTGAAAGATAATATTGATCATGTTCTATTCTGTAATGTTAATATAAGTCATATACTGTCAGAACGAAAAGGTTGCATTTTATGCATGCAACAGCCTGTCAATGGCAGTCCCTTATGAAAATGAACCATGGTTTTACTAAAGTGACCATAGTTCAACTATAGTATTTGTAGTTCCCCTTCTAGGGAACTCAACGCTGCGTCCTGGTGAACACTTTGGGGAACGCTGTCTGCGTGACCGGTTCCTGAAGCATGCATAAAACAACTCCAATCCTATTGGTCCACGTGGCCCGTGACGTCATAGGCGGGTACCTGAAAGTATAAAAGGGGCACCTGCTGAATACGTCACCAACTTTTATTGTCTTTGGAGCCATCTGTCTGTTGAATGTGTGTGAAACATCATCCTGGTGAGTAGAGCAGCGCTTTGAGGAATATGTGCCTCTGTGTTGGGATTCTAACATTTATTATATTTTACATACATATTTTAACCTTTTCGTCTTTGTCTCGGCGGCCACACACTCTTTGTGATGAAACACTTTAATGCACTCGGCTCGCGTTTGTTCCTATTCCCAAGGGATGCAGGGCAAAGCATTCACGTCTCGGCCCGTTGCCACGGCTCTATTTATCTCAGCTCGCAGCGATTGCTTTGATCTGCAATGTCCGCATACCCTCGACTATCGGGTTGCCTAAAGCCGTGGATATTGCTCGTGTTGCTATAACGATAAAGTGTGAGCACCAAGTCGTTTTTAGCTCAGGGCGTGCAAGATCGCGGGCGGAGCTATATTCAGCTCAGCCGTGCCTCTCTAATATGCATGTTATTGTGTGTGGAGAGCCTCGCTGGGCATGGTTATACTGAATGCTCTGTGGAATGAAGCTGTTAGCTTTCTCTCCCAGGGTGCTTCAGTATTCTAGAGTGGTTACGGGGAATGTTCCTTCCTGTGTTTAGCCGGGTGATAAGTGAACAGTCTCTGCTCAGAGTGTAGCCATCTGCGGATGATTATGCTCCAGTTCAGGCTGTTTTGCTTTGGAATATAGCAGTCTGAGACCCAGTCGTTTAACACTGGGTTTAGTTCCCCTTGGGCACAAACTCTCTCAGGTAAGCGCTGAAGCCTTGTTTGGAACCTGCTGTCTGAGCATAGCTGTGTTCCAGCTTGGAGACTGCTCCCCCTTGTGGGGTCTTTAAATAGTGGTCTCCTTGAGCCCTTGCCTAGACTGCGCTGTCTCCCCTGTTCGGTTTTAGGTAGATGGCCCACTTCATGGCCTGGACGAACTTCAGCCTTATCTGAGGGAAATGCTATTTGAGGATAGCTGTGTCCAGCCACCTAGTGTTATGGCCGTTGCTTGCATCAGGCTTTGATCTGGACTATGGTTTTTATGTGTTCGCTCCTTAGCGAATCATTACTATGGTCTGGATCTTCCTATTGTGAGCCTCTGGTCAATATATTGGTGAACGCTAGCCTACTGTGGGACTGACACGGATTGGGGACCTCCTTGGTATAGCCACCTAAGGGTGGTTATATTTCAGCCATTGCCATGGTAGTTGTAGTGGTCCTCTTTCCTAGAGCCTAACTATCTGAGGATAGCCATGTGCTAGCTCGGTGATTGCTCCCCTGCCTAGGGTTTTTAAGTAGCGGTCTCCTTGAGCCCTTACCTAGACAGTGCTGTCTCTCCTGTCTGGGTCGTAAGTAGACAGCCCACTCTCCGTGGTCTGGGTAGTTTCAGTCTGTTCCACCTCTGGTAGCCCTTCCTACACACATAGCTATCTGAGGATATCTATGTGCTAGCTCAGTGCCGTCTCCCTGAGCCCTCGCCTAGATAGCGCTATCTCCCCTGCTAGGGTTGTAAGTAGATAGCCCACTCTTGTGGTCTGGGCAGCCTCATAGGATGGCTTACCGGGGTTTTTCAGGCTAGCTGTGTGGGACCAGCTGTTGATAGCTCGGTGATTGCTCCCCTTCTTAGGGTCTTAAGTAGTGGTCTCCTTGAGCCCTTACCTAGACAGTGCTGTCTCTCCTGTCTGGGTCGTAAGTAGACAGCCCACTCTCCGTGGTCTGGGTAGTTTCAGTCTGTTCCACCTCTGGTAGCCCTTCCTATGCACATAGCTATCTGAGGATAGCTATGTGCTAGCTCAGTGACTGCTCCCTTTCCTAGGGTCTTAAGTAGCGGTCTCCCTGAGCCCTCGCCTAGATAGCGCTATCTCCCCTGCTAGGGTTGTAAGTAGACAGCCCACTCTTGGTGGTCTGGGCAGTCTCAGTCGGTACCATCCTGTTCTACTATTCCTAAAATCCATGTTTATGGTAAGCGTACATGCTAGCTTCTGTGCGCTTTCTAAAATCCACATTGTGGTAAGTGTGCACGCTAGGCACCCTGCGCACTTTTCTAAAATCCTGTATGGTATGGGTTACACACACGACTTTGTTCCCATTCTCTGAGTTGATTCTGGCCCCGGTTCTCCTTGGGCCCCACTCCACTTATGTATCTCTGCCGATACTTCTGAACAGGGCTTCCTCTCATTAAGAGAGTCATTCTTAGGTACATGGCTATCTGAGGATATCAATGTGCTAGCTTAGGGACTTCTCCCCCTTCTTGGAGTTTTAAGTAGCGGCCTTTGTGTTTACGTCTCCTCAGACAACTACGTTGGTGACGTATTCAGCAGATGCCCCTTTTATACTTTCGGGTACCCGCCTATGACGTCACGGGCCACGTGGACCAACTGGATTGGAGTTGTTTTACGCATGCTTCAGGTATCGGTCACACAGACAGCGTTCCCCAAAGTGTCCACCAGGACGCAGCGTCTCGTTCCCTCTCGGAGAACCATGGTTACATGAGTAACCCAAGACGATTTCCATGGTTACCACTACAGTAAACATGTGTTAACCACGTGTAAACAAACATGTAACCTAATAAGTTACAATTAAGGCATTTTGAATGTTAAAATGTGTTTCAAATATAAAGTTAAGAGGTTATCATTATCCATTTTACTCTTAGTAATTTAATAATTTAATAAATTCCATAATTTAAAAGTTCAGTTTAGAAGTATTGTATCGGTATCAATATCGACAATACTGGTCTTGAAAAGTATCGGTATTGTATCCCAAACAAAATAAGTGGTATCGCCCATCCCTATCCAGCATGCGCTCGCGAAATGTAAAAATTAACAGTCATTTCATTTTACTGGCTGACTGACTCACTCATGTATCAATCTATTTATTGAATGATTACTTAAAATTAATATTGTTATGAGAGTAAATATGATTTCGGAGGGATTTGACAAGTCTAACTGAAGAGAACATGATGTTAAGCGAGAAGTTTTTGTTTACGGATCAAAAGTCCCGCTGTACAAACTGTTCACTTCAGTGGTAAGAACGTCTCGGTTACGTATGGTAACCCTCATTCCCTGAAGGAGGGAACGGAGACGTCACGTCGGTGACCGACGAATTGGGATATCGCTTCGATAGACCAATCTACTTCGAGTGTAAACTAAACGAGCCAATGCACATTGGCATGCAATTATTGCATCCAGCTGCTGCTGATCACAGCGTGAGTATAATAAGGCAGCAGGTGCAATGCATACCAGGTTTTCGCTGAGGAGCCGAGCCGGCGACCCGGCCGCTCAGTGGTGGTACAGCAACTGTGGCGACGGGACGTGACTTCTCCGAGGGAATGAGGGTTACCATAGATAACCGAGACGTTCCCTTTCAGCCGGTCACTTCGAGAACCGCTTAGGTCTCAATATGGAACCCAGCCTTCCACGGTTCCCGCGGATTCATCGCGAAGGCCCGGCGCCGGACGTTCCACCGCGTCCGCTGCTGAGGGTGACGGAGGATCTCAACAGGGTCTACTGTAGGACACTCTGGAGCAGTTTTAGCAAGCCGAAACTAACCGGGGCCTCTCGTCGCCACTACCCGTTTGAGGTGAGAACACAGGAGCCAGCGCCCAGGAGGATGCAACACTTTTAGTAGAGTGAGCTCGCAGTCTGAATGGGCAGGGCACACCCTGTGCCTGATAAGCCAGGGTGATGTCATCCACAATCCAGTGGGCCATCCTCTGCTTAGAGACGGCATTCCCCTTCTGCCGTCTGAGGTCCTGAAGCTTTGTGTCCGGTCTACGTAGCACCTTAATGCTCGGACGGGACAGAGCAAAGCCAGGGCTGGGTCTTCCTCCTCCGGGGGTAGTGCTTGCAGGTTCACCACTTGGTCTTTGAAGGGTGTAGTGGGAACCTTGGGTACGTAGCCGGGCCGGGGCCTCAGGATTACCTGGGAGTCTGCCGGCCCAAACTCTAGGCATGAATCGTCGACCAAATATGCGTGCAGGTCCCCTACCCTCTTGATGGAGGCCACTGCAAGCAGGAGCAGAGTTTTCAATGAAAGAAACTTTAGCTCAACTGAATGCAAAGGCTTGAATGGGCCCTGCTGTAGTGATTTTAGCACTAGAGACAGGTCCCAAGAGGGTATAGAGGGGGGCCGGGAAGGATTCAACCTCCTGGCCCCTCTAAGGAACCTGATAACGAGGTCATGCTTACCTACCGACTTCCCATTCACCGGGTCATGGTACGCAGCAATAGCAGCAACCTGGACTTTGAGGGTGGAGGGAGACCGCCTTCGCTCCAGCCCTTGCTGCAGAAAGGAATGGCACGACCGCAATCGGGTGTCTTCTCGGTGAGAAGAACACCACTCAACGAACAGGTTCCACTTCAAGGAGTAAGCGTGTCTTGTAGACGGTGCTCTTGCCGACGTGATGGTGTTCACCAACTCCTGGGGTAGGTCACCTAGAACCTCCGCGTCCCGTCCAGCATTGCTCGAGACAGCTCATCGGCTGTACGGTTGAGCAGGCCCAGAATGTGAACAGCACGAAGTGACCTCAGAACCTTCCGACTCCAAAGGAGGAGGTGGCGGGCGAGTTGCGACATGCGACGAGAGCTCAGACCACCTTGTCGGTTGATGTACGCAACGGTCGCTGTGTTGTCCGTTCGGACCTGTACGTGCTTGCCTCATAAGCGCTCTTTGAGACGGTTCAAGAAAAAATTAATCGCCGAATACTCCTTCGCTGCACCGCCGTCGAGGGTGGTGAAGGAGGAGGAGCCCTTCGGCCGGTTTCTGGCAGTAAAAGGTGCCGTCCACGACCTGGTGAGCTCGTCATGCACTTCCGGGAAGAAAGGCACCAGGGCGGGGTGCTGAGAACCAGCGCGAGCCCCCCCGAGAAACCCATCATCCAGCCGTGAGGGCTCGGGACACGGTGGAGGTTTCCACTCGAGCCCGACCCTTTCAGCGGCCCGGGAAAGCATAGCTGTCATCTCCGAATCTGATTCAGGCTTTGCCACAGTCCCGGAGGGCGGCAGCACGGCCGAATCTTCATCGGACAGCTCTCCCTCCACGCATAATATTCACATTCTGATTGGTCAAATGTCAATCAAGCTCCCTGCGAATGGTCAATTATGTCAAAATGCTGGCATGCCACTTAACTATACTATACTGGGTTGTGTGTGCTGATTACTGATGTCATTTAGATTTAGTTGAAAAAGTTTCAATTCGGTCTATCTTTTTTACCCCATTGTAACATGGATTTCTATGGAGAACGGTGTCCAGCCGTAGTTGTCAGGCAAGATGGCGGATAGCAACAGCGACGCATAATATTCACATTCTGATTGGTCAAATGTCAATCAAGCTCCCTGCGAATGGTCAATTATGTCAAAATGCTGGCTTTTGGCGAGTGACCTCGTAAACACGGTCTTAAATGAGTTATAAAGTCCTAATTGGCCATAAAGAGTTGGGAGAAAACCAAATGCATGTCAGATCCACGTCATGTGCATCAGGTTTTAAAGAGACAGTGCTGCTTTTAAAGTGAAACCTGATGAAGTCTGTCATTGATGGAAATCAAAGAACAAAAGAAAAAGATAAATCACTCTACTGCACTAGTTAACTTTTATAGTTTCAATAAAGATGAATTCATATGCATTTTATAGTTTATACATATGCAATTTATAGTTTATGTGAAGATTGTTTTAAGATCAGCTAAACTAAAAGTTTAAATTTTTTTATATTTTTCAGAGCCTATTAAATGTTAGAAAATAATGGGTTTCAATTATACAGTAATGTTGAATGGCTATAATTAATGGCTAAAATTGAGGGAAAATGCATTTAATATAGATATCAGTAACACTACTGGTATCAATGATAATGGCCTTCATTAATAGTAGGCTACTTAGTAAAAAGATGTAATTAAACCATATTTAAAATATACTATGTTCACGTTGTTTCTACATTGATTTGGAGGTTCAATGTGAAATTATGATAATATAAATATATGAATGTGATTAATCGTGATTTCCGTGAATGTGCAATTAATTAGTTACTTTTTTTTAATCGATTCACAGCGCTAATGTTAACCTTTTATACATGTTATTGTTGGTAATATTAGTTAATTTTACAGCTAAATATACTTTTCAATTTAATTTCTAATTTTATAGGCCATCAATACTTTGTGTGCATTTTCATGGAGAAGAAAGAGAGTTATAAATGTGTGCACTTTAAGGAGTACACTAGCATGTAGATACCCTCAAAGGTAACAGACGCTGACTAAAAGCCACAAAACATTTTTTTCAAGGGATTTAACATCAACTGACATGATGTGATCTTTCCTAAAAATCTCAGATTTGGTTTACATACCCGTGTTGCAGATCTTGAGAAGGACGTCATTGCTCAATTCTTTTAGGGATGCAACGGCATCTTCAAAGAACACTCCATCATGGGATCCAGCAATGGCAAGAATCTGAGATCTGTTTGCATGTCTCATACCAATGGCATTAATGTTGATGGAATTGTCTCTCAAGACTTTAGCAGGCTCGGCTACATCATCCCTACTCTCTCCATCCGTAAGAACTATCAAGAACTTCAGAGCATTGGATCGTCCTCCTTTAGAAATGTCAAAAAAAGACTGTAATACTTCTGTAAGTGCTTTTCCAGTATACGTTTTTCCATTCATCTGTTTGATATTTCTGATTTTCTGTAATAATACAGCTTTATCGTCAAATTTATTTAAGGAAAGCTCCTCATTTGGGTCGGTGCCGTACTGAATAACCGCAACACGCTCCTTGTCCGGTCCAATTGCAAATTTATCTATCACAAGCTCCATTATGTCCTTCATATTTTCAAAGTCCTTAGCACTAACACTTTCTGATCCATCAAGCAGGAAGACAACATCTGCAAAAAGACCTTCACAATCTAAAAATAAGAAATTCATAAAGTGAACACTCCTTCTGTGAAAGGAACATTGAAACAAATTCAATTTAGGCCAATGGGGGAAAAAATCAAGAAGAATCAACTGGATACCGACAGTCATTTATCTGCATGCACTGTATTATTTCATCACCCATTCAATTAAAAATTTTTTTTGCAAATCAGGTAACAGTGAAAACATACAGTATAAACATATGCAAATTAGCTGAATTTCTCACCTTCAAAGGTACATATTTCTGTAATAATGTCTTTCTTGATTTCATCAAGGAAATCATAGTTTTTCACATAAAATATTCTTTGTGGGCTGCCAGATATTAATTCCAGCTCTGGTACAGATGCATCTTTCACACCAATAGCATAAATACTGACATTCTGTTCTGTTCTCAGAAGTTTAGCAGGGACTTCTACCGACTCTTCTGTCCCTCTTGACTCGCCATCTGTGATGACAATCAGGAGCTTATGAACCTTTTCCCCACGTGTTCGTACTGCTTCTTCAAAGAGTGGGATCATTTCTCTCAATCCCAGATCAGTCCTGGTGCCCCCTCCCTCAATTTTGAGGGCATTCACTGCCTTTCTGATATCAGCTTTTGTGTTATAGTCATGTAATCGGAAAACTGTGGTTGCACGACTTGCAAACTTCACCAACCCAAAGCGCACATGGTTATTTCCAACCTCGAATGCTTCAAGCAATTTCTTAATAAAGTTCTTCATATCATCAAATTCTTTATAGGATATGCTTTCTAATTCATCCAGAAGAAAATATATGTCAGCTTTTATTGTTTTCTTGCAATCTGCAGTGGAGTGAAAGAAGATTTAGAGTATTTAGATATGAAATTAGATTTTTTTTTATCTTCAATGTGCTTTTAGGGCCAGTCATTTAAAAGAAAATGAGTAAAAACATCTTACCAACCTTGTAACACAAAGCTCTGTAAGGCTGCAGGTATGATGGAATCTGTGATTTCATTGCAAAGTGTTTTGGTTAAAATATTTGAAAGTGAATGTAGTTTATCAAAGCCTTCAACACTGAATACAAACTTCTTATGTGGATAGGATGCAATCTCTCTCAAGTCATCCTCGTCGGTGTCTTTGATACCAAGCGCAAATATAGTGACACCAGATCGCCGCAATGCTGCTGCAGCACTGGCCACATTATCTGTAGACTTTCCATCAGTGATAACAACAGCAACCTGCTGAACATGCTGATCTCTTCTGCTGCCTCTTGCTTTGGTGAACACATGCTCTTTGGCAAACTTGAGAGCAGCTCCAGTGTATGTTTTACCACGACCATGTGGTATGCTGCTGATGTAGCGTAGGATGTCAGTCTTATCATTGAAGGTGTTAAAGAAAACATCTGCTCGAGGGAAGTCACTATAGAGGACCACAGCTATTTTAATTTTTCCCTCACCTACATCGAGACCTCTGATGGTGTTCTTGAGAAAGTAGCTTAAAAGTTGAAAGTTTTTGGATCTGATATTGCTGGACTGATCAACAATAAAAGCGATATCTGCCACCACGTCAAATATGCACTCTGTCAAAAAGACATGAGAACTTTAAAAACCAGAGTCTTTTGGAGTATGTACTACTAGGGATGTAACAATATCAAAATCTCACGATATGATAATATGGCAATATGAAGTCCATGATACAATATTTATTGCGATATTTAAAAAAAAAAAAGACAAATGAAGAACTGGGGGGAAAAAATGAAATTTTTGTACATTTTAAAGTTAAACTATTCTATCTAATGCACTTTCAGAGTTCAAAATTAAAAGCTCCAACCCAAAAGTCAGTGAATTGACTTGTACCTGAAATTAAAGGGGACTCAACCCTCTTTTTATTTGTGATATACTGTCTCAGTCTAAATTACATTCACAGTGGTGTTTTAGGAAGCCAATCAAAACAAAAATAAATGAAAATGAATATTTCATAGGTATACTATTTTTGCTTTACACTACAGTAGAGAAATTACTATACTTATTTCCTAATTTCTACACTTGAAAGAGATCTTTTGAATTTGGACTACTTAAACCGCTAGCTGTCAGCAATTCATTCTGCACTTTTAAGTTGTTGTTTTTTTTAACGGAAACGGCAGTAGACCTTTTATTTTGAAGGAAAACTCCAGCTTCAGTGAAAGCATACTTACAAAAACACGTCTCACTACAAATTTAGTGAAATGCTGTAATCATCTGCCACAAAAATAAGGCCTAATACCGAGTTCACACTGCATGATTTTCAAAATCATCTGATCATCGTTGTTTTCACACTTCACGGCCATCTGGGGTAGCATTCAGTTGCTGCTGTGTTCACATTGCACGATAGATCGGCGACAGGAGGTTACACATTGCATGACTTTACAATAGGAAGAATCACCGACAACTCTGTCTGGTCCGCAAACTACGTTTCATAACCAAACGCACGCAAGAAGTGATAAGGAAAAATATCTTGCTGATATTGTGGTCTATAATAAGTCCTCCCCGAACAAACAATAACAAAGATGACTTCGTAACATAGCGAAGGTGTCATGCCAGTCTTATGCACACCCCTTCAAGTAAAGTGTAACCCAAAAAAGTCCTCCCCGAACTTCCCGCTGCCCTGCATCTTGCTCTCTCATTGGCTGTAGTTCATTGCCGACGTATGTTTCAGTCAGTACTCATTTCATGCCTAGTTCACACTACAGGATTTTAAGTTTAAGGATTTTTTAAGTTTGAAGTTCAAGTTAATGAGCTCGCCGACAGGTCGGGCTATGATCGGGGGAAAATCAGAGGGTGATCGGCGCTCAGCAATCTTTATGTGTGAACATACACAATGATACATCAAAAAGGTTCACTGACGCGTCACCAACACATCGCCAACGGCAAACAAATATCTAGCATGCCAAATATCTGGACCGGTCGGCCGACTTGACATCACATGGTGTCAGGTGTCATGACGAGCTATAGCCAATGAGAGAGCAAGGCATGGGTTGAAGTCACCAGAAGAAAAACAACAGCAGCACCATGGCTTAAAGAAAAGTTTGGACACAATAAATGGAGCAACATTTTTCATCGAGCAAACAGCTTGCAGTGCTAATTTCTTCCCGACATCCATTTTCAAATAAACAACTCCTGTTTCACGTGTTGTTTTGCTTCATTCCTGTTCCAATTCTCGCGTGTTTTTGTGACAAAACGTGGTTTGTAGAGTCGTTGGGTGACAGAGTTGTTGCGGATCATTTACAATACATAGAGTCACGTAGTGTGAACACCACAACGACTTAAAGACATACAATCAAGTCATATAGTCTGAACAGCACAGCGATCTGCCGACGTTTAAAGTCGTGTAGTGTGAACTTGGCTTCACACAGCAGGATTTTGAATCGGCGATAGCTCCAGATATTTAGTATTCCAAAATATTTCACGGGCGTCAACGACGCATCGGCGATTCTCTCAGATCGCGTCTTTGGTAATTCACACAGAGTGATTGTCACTCGCGTGAACAACACCAATTTCAGGCATTTGTCGACGATTTTGCAAAACCTGTCGGTGAGTGAAAATCAGGGCTAAAATCATGCAGTGTGAACTCGGTATAACGGGTGGCTGTTGCGTTCCCAAATGCACGCTAAACTCACAGCACGTGCAATAATCAAGTTCACTGCATTCATTCACTGTGAACTGAGCCATTCTGAGGCGCAGAAAACACCAGATCACTAGCTGATCGTCCGAATAATGTGTGCGCTTCGCTTTGAAATGCGCAGCAAAAACAGATATGATTAAGGGATTATTGTGCCATATTGTGCTTTTGGTTTTAGTTCGTTTGACAGATACAGTACTGTGCCAAAGCATAATGGCCCAAAAGACCTATCATTTCATATCGTCATGTGACCACGATAATATCGACAATTTCTCGATATCACGATATTGCTAATATCATTACATCCCTATGTAATACAAAATAGTATTTCAAGTTCTCTAAACAAAGGAGAAAATTAGAAAAGTTTATAGGTTTTATAGAAAGATTAAAAGATTATGCATGCACTCACCCCTTGCAACTGCAGCATCTTCCCATGTGTCAATGAAAGACTTAATTTTCTGTTGCACTTGTGGGATGTTACCTAACTTGTAGCTGTGTGGTTGACTAGAGATGTACTTCATCTCATCTGCATCTGCTCTGTTCAAGCCAACAGCAAAAACTATCACTGCATCTTTTTTGATTGTGCGGGATGCTTGGACGACACCATCAGCAGATTCTCCAGCTGCAATGACTAACAGAAATTGCTTAAATCCTTCAGAGACACGGCTTCCAGTGGCACTAGTGAAGAAATTTTTATGAGCATATTCAATTGCATTGCCAATTCTACGATCCCCTGTAGACCTCAGTGCCAGGCTGCGGATAGATGACACTATCTCATTCTTGGTCTTATCAGTATTTAGCAGGAACTCCTCTTTGACATTTTTACTGAACTGAGCCAGGCCGACACGATTAAAATCCTTTCCCACATTGAGCTGCGTGACCAGTTTTGAGAGAAAACTCTTTATTGTTTGCTGCTCTTGTCTAGATGCTGAACTATCAACCAATATGAAGAGATCAGCAAATTTTGGTACAAAAGCTGAAGAGAATGGAAACAAAGGAATAGAATTACTTCTAAGAATTGCATCTAAATAATAATTTGTATGATGAGACTCAAAGCTAGTACATTTCAGGTAAGTTTGTGTTTGTATTTATTTTAAGGTTTATATTCAACAATCCCATAAAGATCCAAAAAAGGAAAGCATAGTAAATAAAATCTGTTACCTTCTGATTGAAGCAACACAGTAAAGCACACTTTGTTGCGTAGACCCGCTTTTAGACCTTGCAGTTCTCGATAATTGCCGATACTGAATAAGAACTCTTCATGTGGGATATTAGCAATGGCACGCAGTTTTTCCATGTTGCCCATTCCCACCCGGATGACAAAGATGAAAACTCCCAGGTTTCGTAGTCTCTGGGAAGGTTCCTCCATATCATCATTTGATTCTCCATCTGTGATGACTATGACAATGCCAGGAACACTCTTTCTGGCCAGGCTAAAGTAATTCTCACGGATAAAAGTCAGGGCCCGACCAGTGTTGGTGCCTCCTCTACGGTAGATGAGACCATTCAACTTTTGGTGCAAGTCTGTCTTATGTAAATAGTCACCAAGCAGGAACTCTTGGTACGGTCTATCACTGAACTGGGCAAGTCCCACTCTCACCTTATCGGGTCTAAGATTAAAACTGTCGACAAAAGCATGGAGGAACTTCCTCACTTCTTCAAAATCACTCGCTCCAATGCTACCAGACGAGTCCACAAGGAGCACAATGTCTGCCTGAGCAGTTTCGTTGCAGCCTAGGGCAAATGGAAGAATTTTATTAGAACTTTCATCACTTGATCTTAATTCTTATGTCTGTAAAAACAGAATAATACAAAGATAATTTTAAGGGTGTGCTACAAATGTGCCACTGTCATTATGATGCTTTAACCTGAGACCCCACACTATTTTTTAATGTCAGCCTGTTCTGACTCGACCTGCTCTGTATTTTCTACCTAATGAGAGTACATTTTCTACGGAAAAATCTCTTACAATTGACCCTTCACAAAAACTCACCCTCCTTAGGTACTGTTGCTATATCTGAGTAGCCATGCCTCTCTCACACTACACATCGTGTTCTCACGCAGTGAAAAATACATAGTGGAGCAAAAAGGGAATTGACAACTCGCCGAGAGACAAGACAGAGCAGGTTACTTCTGGTATGAAACAAGGTCTGACATTTCAAATTTTGTAATTTTTTAAGAATTTCAAACAATAAATACTATTTTGTGGCTCTTTAATGTGTCGTGACAGATCACTGTAGTGCCTCAGTTCAACTGGCACGTGAACCAATTATCTTTTCATATTTACTTAAATTATGAAATAAACATGAATGAACATCAGAACTTATTTTATTTCAACAACAGAAAGAGGTCAATACATACATTTTTTAAAGTTTAAGTCCACCAAAGTTAATCTACTCTCCTGTCTAAATTGGTTTTCTGACAAAATGGCAGATTTGGCATTGTGACTGGTCAGATCACCTGCGAAGGGTCAATTCCATGAAAAACATCTAGTCTGTAGCTTTCAAGTTATGTGCATCAAAATCACAGTCTTTCAGGCTGCTCTCACATAGTAAGTCTGCTGTATAAAATGATTAGACGTGCACATGGCAGATTATCAAAAATCCCACCAAAAAAACAATGTACATTGACAGAATTTTCTGAATCTTGCTTGGAATGGTTTTGATTTGATACAAATATTTAAACTATATAGCCTTTGAACTTCAAACTAACCCTCAAAATGTTTTAAACACTCAAGCAAGGTTTTATCAAACTAATATTCAAAGCATTAAAAAAACAAAGTTTTAAGAGCTTAAGGGCTTTGTTGCAACTAGCTACTGATTTCTTATCAGGTTCTCTCACTCAAAAATGTCCTGTAAAGCTGTGACCCAGAGAAGCACGGCACTACTAGAGTTCATGTACATAATTGATAGTTTATGTAATATGTTACCTCTTGACATCTGGATGATCTCTTTGTGTGTTTCCTCTACAGTGGTACACACCTCCCGGATTACACTCTGAGAGATTCCCTGCAGAGCTGCAAAGTCTGATACACTGTAAACGTGCTGATCGTACGGATCGCTCGCAATCTGTCTCAGTAAAGTCTCGTTCGCATCTTTGATCCCTATGGCGAATATTTTGATTCCTCTTTGCCTCAGCTCCTGAGCCTGTGACCCAACCTCATCTTGAGATTCACCATCTGTGATGATAATGGCAATCTGAGGAACACTCTGCTGTGCTCGACTTCCGGCTTTTTCAACAAAGTGTTGTTTCAGCATGAACTCCAAACCCTGGCCGGTAAATGTCCCACCGGTTTTATAATGTAGATTTTGGATGTACCTGAGAATGTCCTCTTTGTTCTGGTAAGTGTTGAGCGAAAATTCAGTATGCGGTGTGTCACTGAACTGGACCAAACCGATCCTGATCCTGTCAGCGGCAACTTCTAAGTTCTCTATAAGCAAGGAAACAAATTCACAGATTTGTTGGAAGTTTTCCAGCCCGATACTGGCAGAGCCATCCACCAGGAATACAATGTCAGCCATGGTCTCCTGTGTACACACTGAGATAAGTAAAACAGAGACTTTTAATTTCATCAACAACAAGACCAAATTGAATATACTGTAATGTACTGAATCATCCCTGTCCTTACCAATGTTTTGGCCATTGCTGACAAGAAAACATAATGACAGAACAAGGAAACCAAGTAATCCCCACTCCTTTCCCATGCTTGAGTTACCCATTTCTGGAAAAAAAAATGCAACCAACGAGGTTGAAAGCTTCTGCACAGCTTGTATTGCCAAACAGAATTGCAAACGCAATATGCATGTAAAAAATAAAGAAAAGAGACTGAGATCTTCCCATTTTCCCACTGATATTTCCTGTTTTGTATGAAAAAGTGGTGCACGGATGGCCAAACGACAAAGCATCATCTAGCCGTGTGTCATCTGCAGCTCATTGATGCCAGAGTGGAGCGGAGACTGTCGCACATTGTTCACAGCGACTGGAGGGCCACGGTGCGATAAATCACCAGCAGCTACAACAGTGGTGACCAGGGCAATGTGTCACAGCACACAGTTCATTGCAGCCTTCTGCATATGGGCCTGCATATCAGACCAACTAGCTGGATCCCCATGCAAACTGCACACAATAGCCAACACAATAAATAGGCTTGAGATCATCAAGATCGTTTCGTGGATGACTGGAAGGAAGTGGCCTGGAATCAAGATTCAGGCTGCATTACGTCGACGGCTGAGCACAGATACGCCAAATACCAACAGAGGCTATGGCACCTGGATGCACTGCTGGGCAGCAAAGGCCGGTTATGATGTGGGCAATGTTTTCTTGGGACACTTTAGGTCCCATTATCCCAAAAGCACAATCCCTGACAGCTATCAGGTATCTGAACATCGTTGTGGACCAAGTCCACTCATTCATGGCAGCTGTGTTCCCTTCTGGTGATGGCCATTACCAAAAGGATAATGCAAAATGCCACACTATCAGAATTGTCAAGGAGTGGTTCAAGGAAGGAGTGGTTATAGTAAATATATATTTGTGCTGTCAATAAATTTAAAATTTTAATTGGATTAATCACACTCTTATCATGAGGTTACTTGCACACTTATCATGAAATTAAGCACATACCATTTATCTTGTTTGACAAGATCATTTTGTCATTATTTGCCATATATATCCAGCAAAGTAAACCAACAGATTGAAGACTGATTCTTACAAAAATATTTTATGCAAGCATAGATACATTTAGACGTCTTTTCAAAAAAAGACCAAAGAACCAAGTGATATAAGAAGTTTATATACATTTATGCACACCAAAGCACACACTACAAAAAAAATCAGTGTACAGTAAACAACTCAAGTTGCAATAATGAACTGGACCACATGCAGATGTCAAAAAATTCCCTCAATCAACCGCCTTGAGCTGATTGCTACATACTACTACAGTACACATATCGATTCATAATGACTAAACACAGCAACATACACATAACAAATCAAAACATTATTTAACATTAAAGCTGTAAAAACAAGGTGAATGTACAAAAATGTGTCTGTGCATAAATACAATGTATGATCTGTGCAGGGGCTTAGCCATCATTTGACAGAAATTTTGAATATAATAATACCTTTTTTTCCTTTTGTCTAATTGACAGGTTTTATTTTTCTTATCTCTTACTTAATTGGCTAAGAAATCAAATACACTGATGGGTAATTACCAAAAATTTGTCTCAAGGTCTGCATTTAAAGTCACACATCTGCTTTCTGCAGACCAGTCAAGTTCTTCCACACTGATTGAATCAATCATTTTTTCTTGAACCTTGCCACATACACAGAGGCATTGTCATGTTTAAATAGAAAAGGGTCCTGTCCAAACTGCTGCTATAAAATCTGAAGCACACAATTCCCTAGAATTTCATTACATGCTTAAACATTAAGATTTGTACTCATGGAAATTACTAAAGTAGATAGTAGATAGTATATATATAATGGAAGTCTGTAGCATAAGGCTTGTCCAGATGAATGTTGAAGTCACCAAAGACTAAAAGTGGACTGCCATCCTCCGGGAATGAGGACAGCAGCCCATCCAGCTCCTCTTGGAAGGTGCCTAGAATTTGCCCAGGAGGGCGGTAAATTACTGAGTTTTATAGGAGCTGTTACAGTAATCACATGAGATGCAAATGACTTATAATTGCATAGGGGAGAGTGGGTTGAGTATTTCCAATTGTTTGAAATGAGCAGACCAGTGCCGAGGTGGGGTGGTGGTGTAAGAGAAAGAGATTGTTAGATAGAGCAGCTGGGGTTGCTGAGTCTTCTGAGCGAATCCAGGTCTCAGTCAAGCCCAAGATGCTGAGTGTGGATTGTAAAGAATAAGCAGAAATAAAGTCTGCTTTGTTGACAGCTGACTGACAATTCCAGAGACCCACAGAGAAAGAAAGAGGTGCAGTAGAAGATGTAGAGATAGGATGCAGGGTAGCAAGATTGCGTTGCCATCTGCGTGTGATGTTAGAGCGTTGTTGAGAGACGACCGGAATGTTTTGGAAACACATGATAGAGGTGGAAAAGAGAGGACAGAAAAGGAGTGTGTGTAAAGGGGAGATAAAAATAATACTTAAGTGCGTTGCCGGTTTCGTCGGTCTTCACACAAGGAGGCTGAACACGAGGGCTGAACGCTTCCGCGTCAGTGCACAGACATCAAAGAAGTACACAGTCTAAAGCCCGGCTCACACTGTGCGATTTTGGCCACGATTTGGTCATCTGAGACAAATTTAGAAAATCCTAAAAGATTCCTATAATCCTAGGCTAAAATCTGTAGTCTTTGATCGTTAGTTTGACATGTTTACCGACAGCCGATTAATGGCCGTTGCGATCAAATTTGACCACCGACGAAATTCTGGCAGTGTCAGAAGATTTGGCGCATAGTCCTGCAGTGTGACTTATCCTACGACAAACATCAAACTGTCTCCGATTTTCAAGATAAGCCATGATCAGATTAATGCTAGATATTTCTACTAACCGCATAAACTCCGGCGCTCTTGTCCTCCGCTCACGGAATTCATATAATACGTTGCCTTTGCTATGATAAACACCGGTTGCGCTGCTGTTTTCATGTGGGTGTGTAGTGCTGTTTACACTATTCTTCTTAAATACACCGGTATTGCCGCCATTCATTTACTTTTAATGATAGCCAACATTACAGCCCCGCGTGCAATGCAGCTTGCAGTCACTGAACGTGTATGGGTTAAAAAGGTAAAATTCCGGACAAGTTTTCTTGCGCGGAACCCCTTTTTTAACGCGTCTTGACTGTCGTACAGTCTGACATTAATGACAACTGGGATCCCACAGTGTGACATGATCATCATGTTCGTACTGTCTGACAAGTACAATCCTAAAGGACCTTTTAAAAAAAAATCACACAGTGTGAGCCCGGTTTAAGAGACTGATGTGAAAAAATAAAATCAAAACTACAGTTCTCACTTAAGTGCAGGAAGAGAGCAATGCAAATAACACAGGCTCATTCTTAGCCGACGGCAATTATTATAATTACCAGTAAGTGCAATCAAAAATACTATATAATAACTACAATGAAAATACAAAGTAGAGATAGGTAGACAACAAAATATTCCTTCCTAGCAGCCAGTAATAATTTAAACAACAGATCTCCAAACAAAGTATTAAAGGGGTCATCGGATGCTACATGCACTTTTACAAGTTGTTTGAACTGAAATGTGTGTTGGCAGTGTGTGTACACAACCACCCTAAAATGATAAAAATCCACCCAGTGGTTTTTTTTAATCTACTAAAATTTTTACCCCTTTCCAAAATCGAGCCGATCTCAGATGCCTGTCTGTGTGATGTCACAAAAACAGGCCCCTCCCACGATAGTTTGATTGACAGTAGCGTTTCAGCACAGACTGAACTGGTTTCTTACTTTAGACCCGCCCTGAGTGAGCTGGCATCAGTCCGACATTGATGTAGACAAGAATGACTCCTAAGTGATTGAGGTTTTCTGTTGTTGGATGTAATAATGAACATAGCAGTCGTCATTTACTCCTGACATCTGAGCCGCTGAAGACGCAGTGGATTACATTTGTTTTTGAAGGGAATGCGCCCCCAATCTACCTAAATGCATCTATGTTTGCGCGAATCATTCGTAATCCAGCATGGGCATCCGATGACCCCTTTAAGCAAAACAATCACACGCTGCCGTCCGTCTCTTCTGTTGACTAATCGCTTCTCCCAAGTTATGACAGTGTCTACAGTCATTGTGGAAGTTGTCCAAATTAAGTTCAAAAATTAAGTTTTGATATATTTACGTTAGGAAATTTACTAAACATCTTCATGGAACATTATCTTTATTATCCTAATGATTTTTGGCATAAAAGAAAAATGGATAATTTTGACCCATACAATATATGTTGGCTATTGCTACAAATATACCCATGCTACTTATGACTGGTTTTGTGCTCCAGGGTCATATATATATATATATATATATATTCTATTGAAATACAACAAATCCCCCCAAAAAATTAATTAATATATATCTGAATATAGACAAAAATGTACAGTACTTTTACTCAATTATATGACAATCTCAACAAAAAGCAGAGCTTGAATATCTGTTAGCTAAAAACCATGACAATTATAATTGAAATCAATTATAGGAATTATTTAATTCAATGTTACATTTTATAAGCGAATACTTAGTATACTGAATAGCATTTCATAAACAGCATAAATATTTTTATGACAACATAAACCCTGTTTTGATATAATTTATTTATTTACTTACTTTTAAATTTTTTTTACTATAACCAAAATCTAACATTTTCAAATGCTACTCAACAGGCACCATTTTTTACAGCATTGCACATTATAACCAATAACACACGATGCTGTTGAACTTATGAATGCAGTGGGCCAATCAGAAATATTCAGATGAGTCATCGCTGAAACATCAGTGTTTTGTTCAGTGTGCGCGCTCGCTGACTGAATTACTCTCGCGAATTCTCTCATCATAAAAAAAGATGTTCAGATGTACATACAATGTAAGTAAGAAATACATTTCTGTGTAGACAGCTTAATTGATTATAACGAGTTTTGTTTTTTGAGAGTGCTTAAACCGATGATAGATCGAAGTTCGCTCGCTTTCTGTCCATAATTTATTCGTTGTTTGAATAACTGTAGAAATAAAAAGGTTACAATTAGCAACATATTTTTATTAAATTGTGATTATGTTAAATACAATTCAGTCATATTAAAATTTGTTATTAGCCTCTGTAACTCAGTACTTGCCTAAAAAGACGGGTTTATGATGTAGTTAATAGATTACACATTGGCTACACTCTAAAAAATGCTGGGTTGTTTCAACCCAACATTGGGTCAAATATGGACTAACCCAACTTTTGTATTAAAAATGTAATTAAAAAAATGTAACCCAGTAGTTGGGTTAGCCCGTATTTGACCCATAGTTGGGTTGAAACAACACTGCATTTTTTTAGAGTGTACTTTTACGCTTAACCTGGAGTTGGTTCACCCTCCGCATATGAGCAAGCCAATAACAATAACGGAAACAGAGTTCATACAGACTTGAAATGCAGCTTTAAATGTGTTAAGGATTGTCAGCCAGCTTTATGCTTTTCTCCTAATGTTTAAAATCAGACCAGAGTCTATGAAAATACTGGCTAGTGAACATGACACTCATGATAGATCTGAATCCAGAAAAAAAGAGTCTTGAATAGAACACATGAATAAAATCGATGCTTAAGATTGATTTAATTGTTTATAAACACACCTGAGAAAGCTAGTTATCTTTCCTGTGAAGTATTACTTCACATTCACATACTTTTAACACTTTAAGCATCTCTACAAGCTAATGACAAATAAAACTTCAAGAATTTTTAATTTAAAAACACTATAAATCAAAGTATTATCATGCTTCATTACACTGAATTACCTTTAATATAATCTAAATATAATAAAGGAAGAGAGTAAAGAGGTGAACTTACATACAGCCCAGGCACTGATGGGAAGTGTCCAACCCGAAAACTCTGAATGAGATACTAAAAACCTGAAGCAGTTCACAGAAACTTATCAAGCCACTCCTCAACACCACAATTTCCATTCTAGCATGTACGAAACATGCAGACCCACACATGCATGACAGATTTATCATTTGTTTAGCTTCGCCAATAAAAAGCTTGAATACAATGTGTTCACATTCCACTTTTGGATTATTAAAGTAGTCCATATACTTATGTGCTAAATTTCCAAATCATCTGACCTCTTTAAAACTTTTAAACACAGACCGACTTCAAGTCGCTATTCACTGAAAATGTAATGTCTGGGAAGAGGGCGAGCCTTTACATCTTGTGGTTTGGATACTCCAGTAACAAAACTGGACAATGTGTGTCACAAAGTGAAAATAATTCTCAAATGATGGATCAATACCAACTGTTCATGATTCAACTTCATATTCAGACCACGGAAGTACCGCACTTTGTATTTTGTGGATGTTTGCAGATCACCTTTCTGAATGTGCTTGTTAGCATGCAGAAGAGCTAATGTGGCTAATCTGACTGTATTCACAGAGACTATGTCGTTGTTTATTATTAAGAAGTAATAAATGTGCATTTGTGAATTATACAGATGGTCAGCATTTTCGGGTAAAAAAAAATAGCTCTGTGGCCCGTTTTAATAAGAGGATTAACCAACTCGGAGTTAAAACTTGAAATCTGAGTTTACTTACCCTGGGATGGGAAACTTGAGTTAGTTCAGTCAATTCTGAGTATGTTGACTCTGAGTTAAGTGCATGCACCATGACTTTAAAAAGTCATGATCAATGGATCTCCGAAATTACAATTCACCAAGGCAACAGCATACTTCCGAGTCAATATGTAAGTTCCCGCCTCATTTCTTGGACACCTCTATATCAATTGTGGATAATCAAATAGTCTCCTCTCTTTATAGAAAAGACACAGCTAAGAGCACACCCAATGCCCTTAAAACGTGGTTTACCCTATAGCCAGTTTTTGAGACTCCATCGTATTTGTTCTAAGAAAGAGGATTTTGAGGCTAAAGCCCAGAGCTTGTATATGGACTTTAAATCACGGGGTTATCCTAATAAGTGGCTTGACACTGCACTTGAGAAGGTTTCTAGCTTACAAAAACAGGAGGAAAGAAATTTGACTATGAATAAAAGAAACAAGAATTTTTCATGTATGTTTAAATCCACTTACAGTCCAACATTCACATACTTTTAACACTTTAAGCATCTCTACAAGCTAATGACAAATAAAACTTCAAGAATTTTTAATTTAAAAACACTATAAATCAAAGTATTATCATGCTTCATTACACTGAATTACCTTTAATATAATCTAAATATAATAAAGGAAGAGAGTAAAGAGGTGAACTTACATACAGCCCAGGCACTGATGGGAAGTGTCCAACCCGAAAACTCTGAATGAGATACTAAAAACCTGAAGCAGTTCACAGAAACTTATCAAGCCACTCCTCAACACCACAATTTCCATTCTAGCATGTACGAAACATGCAGACCCACACATGCATGACAGATTTATCATTTGTTTAGCTTCGCCAATAAAAAGCTTGAATACAATGTGTTCACATTCCACTTTTGGATTATTAAAGTAGTCCATATACTTATGTGCTAAATTTCCAAATCATCTGACCTCTTTAAAACTTTTAAACACAGACCGACTTCAAGTCGCTATTCACTGAAAATGTAATGTCTGGGAAGAGGGCGAGCCTTTACATCTTGTGGTTTGGATACTCCAGTAACAAAACTGGACAATGTGTGTCACAAAGTGAAAATAATTCTCAAATGATGGATCAATACCAACTGTTCATGATTCAACTTCATATTCAGACCACGGAAGTACCGCACTTTGTATTTTGTGGATGTTTGCAGATCACCTTTCTGAATGTGCTTGTTAGCATGCAGAAGAGCTAATGTGGCTAATCTGACTGTATTCACAGAGACTATGTCGTTGTTTATTATTAAGAAGTAATAAATGTGCATTTGTGAATTATACAGATGGTCAGCATTTTCGGGTAAAAAAAAATAGCTCTGTGGCCCGTTTTAATAAGAGGATTAACCAACTCGGAGTTAAAACTTGAAATCTGAGTTTACTTACCCTGGGATGGGAAACTTGAGTTAGTTCAGTCAATTCTGAGTATGTTGACTCTGAGTTAAGTGCATGCACCATGACTTTAAAAAGTCATGATCAATGGATCTCCGAAATTACAATTCACCAAGGCAACAGCATACTTCCGAGTCAATATGTAAGTTCCCGCCTCATTTCTTGGACACCTCTATATCAATTGTGGATAATCAAATAGTCTCCTCTCTTTATAGAAAAGACACAGCTAAGAGCACACCCAATGCCCTTAAAACGTGGTTTACCCTATAGCCAGTTTTTGAGACTCCATCATATTTGTTCTAAGAAAGAGGATTTTGAGGCTTAAGCCCAGAGCTTGTATATGGACTTTAAATCACGGGGTTATCCTAATAAGTGGCTTGACACTGCACTTGAGAAGGTTTCTAGCTTACAAAAACAGGAGGAAAGAAATTTGACTATGAATAAAAGAAACAAGAATTTTTCATGTATGTTTAAATCCACATACAGTCCACCGAGTAATGATATTAAAACTTTTATCAAGAGTCATTGGCACATTATCCAAAGTGATCCCCAGTTATTGAACGTATTTAGTGATCAACCACTCTTTGTCTCTTCTAGGAGCTCTAATTTGAGGGATAAGCTTGTTTATGCTGACACCTACATCTCTTCTCCGACTACTCTTGTCGATGCCCAGGGTAATTTTCCATGTCACAACTGTACTTCCTGTACTAAGTATGTTAAATGTAAATCATTTACACATCCTCGTACACTAAAAACCTATAAGATTAGACCATTGATCACTTGTAAGAGTACATATGTTATTTACATTATCATAGCTTCTCGGCCTTTTGGCTAATAGCAAGTGTAGTCTGGAGCCGGGGCTTGCTCCGTCCACTCCACGCATCAGCCTGGTATTGCAGTGTCGCCAGGAACGGTGTGCTTTCCCTTTTTGGGGATTGTCAGGGAGAAGTCGTGGCCTAATGGTTAGAGAGTCGGACTCGTAACCCAAAGGTTGCGGGTTCGAGTCTCGTACCAGCAGGGATTGTAGGTGGGGGGAGTGAATGTATTTGCGCTCTCTCCCACCTTCAATACCACGACTGAGGTTCCCTTGAGCAAGGCACCGAACCCCCACCTGCTCCCTGGGCGCTGCAGCAAAAAAATGGCTGCCCACTGCTCCGGGTGTGTGTGTGTTCACTGCTGTGTGTGTGTGTTCACTGCTGTGTGTGCACTTTGGATGGGATACATGCAGAGCACTAATTCCGAGTATGGGTCACCATACTTGGCCACATATCATGTCACTTTTTTTCTTTTCACTTTCATCTGTCCATGTTTACAACTATATGTTGGCAAAACTATACGTGCATTACACACAAGAATGATTGAACACACAAGTGCCATTAGGAGACAGGATGATGCATCTTCAATTTCTCGTCACTTTAAGTCTGCCAACCACTCTTTGTCTGACATGAAGTTCCTGGGCATCGAGAGGATTCTACCTCATAGAAGAGGCGGAGATAGAGATAAGAAGTTGTTGCAAAAGGGAGGCTTTCTGGATCTTTGAACTTAAATCTTTATTTCCTGAGGGTATGAATGAAGAACTAGAACTCTCTTGTTTTTTGTAAAAATTGGTATTGTCGTTACTGCTTTATATTCTCTCTCTCCTGCTGTGTTTGTTGTATTTGTAAGGTTTGGTCATTCTTTGAAGTTGTATACTTTTTATATATAAATTTCTGCTATATATGTGAATGATCAAACTTTCGTGGAATTCTGATTAATTGAGGTTTACCTGAGATAATTGAATTCAGCTGATTGTCTTTAATTGTTGACCTACTTAAAAAGGGTGACTGTTGTTTTTTAAGTGAGCACTGAAGATAGCAATGTGCTGAAACGTTTGCTTGCTTGCTCGTGTCCATTTTTTAATGCACTTTGCATAATGCAATTTATAAAAATTAAAAATATGTTTTTGTAGACTTTTTAGTCTTGAGTGGATCAGTGTGCGGTTAGCCACCCTCTTGCTCATTTTCAAATATCCTACTGGCTCTACACACCTGCAGTACAAGGAACTTTTTTTTTTTTGGAGCGCTACAATTTTCTCAAGTTCCCGCCTCAATAAAATGCAAGTGCATACAGCACGCCTGCATTAAAACGCTATCTTTATGAGCAGTATGAGTCATCTCACATTAGGAGTTCTGCAAAGAAATCGGACATGTGTGTTTAGACATTGATGTCCAGATATCGGATGTGTCCGATTAAAATCTATATTTGGAAGTGGCCCAGATTGGATGCAAAGAAATCGAATCTTGTGCGGATTTTTTGTGTTTACACGTGTGCAACAAATTCTGATCTGTGTCAGATGTGCGCAAAAAAATCTGATTTTTGTGCCAGTGTAAATGCAGCCTAATTCTTAATCACTGTTATATTATCAGAGGTGAAAACTGGCAGGACGGTACGTTTTTAAACTAATATTACATTTTATGGTATCCCACAGGCCAAAAAAAGGATGCATGGAGAATAAATTAAGTATAAAAACATAATTCAATCAGGTAAAGCTTTAAGCATAAAAGGTTCATGGGTGTAGGATACATGACTTAAACATTGGACATATTAAATAAATATCATTCAGTGTCTATTTCATTGTGCAGCAGCTTTACCCAAATAGTCTAATGATCTTTTCACATACCGTAGTTAAATGTTCTCTAATCCAAACTGTTATATTTCTTATTTGGAGTAATGAAATTAACATTTGACTAACTCAGCCAACAGCAAAATAATGAAGAGCAGATGAAGAGAAGATGACCACAGTACCAAGTATTGGAAGAATATTATAATCCAACATGAAAATGAATAACTGTTGCTTTTGTATTTGTAGGTAATAAAGATGACCAAATAAATTGTGTTTATTTAACAGCTGTGATGGTAGTTACGGCATATCTTGTACTCTGCAGACCATTCAAGTTCTTCCACCCTGACTGAATCCATCTTTTTTTTTTTTTTACCTTGCCTTACACACAGGCATTGTTGTTTTAGAATAGAAAATGGTCCTATTCAAACTATTGGTATAAAATTAGAAGCACACAATTCCCTAGAATAGCATTATATGCTTTTTTTTACTGAAAATTAGAAATTACTAAAGTAGTCAAGAGATACTCAAAAAGTGTACTTAAGTACAGTACTCAAGTAAATGTACTTAGTTACTGTCCGCCTCTGCAAGCCAGCCTAGCTATTCAAAATCTTTGTCTACAATTTAATAATATTGACCTATTACTTTTGCTATTGCTTTTGACCATTAGGTATCAGTAACAATTCATTCAGAACCTATTCTATGGACATAGACTTTCTGTACCACACTATTCTGCTGATATGGAATGAGTTTGACTACTTAATCAGTTATATTTATAGAAATGCTTCACTGTGGCAAAAAAAAAAAACTAAAATAATAAATAGGATAGGCTACCTCATAACACCAGCATTTCCAGCAGTATCCAACATTTCTCAATCATGATCTTACTCACCTCTTGAAATCATAATTAAGACTTTCTTGTACAATTTGAGTTTTGTGGCCTTTAATTTGATAAAACTAAATTTAAGACTTTTAAAGAGTTTTTATAAGGATCTTCGGAAACCCTGTCATGCCCATTGTCACACCCTCGCATATTGCCTTTCCAACACAAAACAAAAGTGTTTCCTACAGACTGAAGGTCCTTACACACCGAGTCCGAAATTTTTGCATATTAAAAAAATTAATTCGACCTCACGTTGTGTCAATCACGTTTACACACTGCCTCCGAAACTTTCGTCTGTCATAAAAAAAATTCAGATCGGGTTTGATTTTCTGTGTTTTCGCATCCGTAGCAAGCATTTTGATAGGAAAATTTCGAACTAGTCTAAGTATTTAAGTATTGTGTGCTGTGATGAACACCAATGTGAATACAAAAATCTGAATGGCTGTTTGAAACATTTAAATCCTGAAACAAAACGTCTCAGGTTACTTATGTAACCATGGTTCCCTGAGTAGGGAACTTCGAACTACGTCCTCTAGGGGTCGCTATGGGGAACACCTCGTCGTGACCCGTGTCTGAGCATACATTGAAAAAAAACACCAACAACATGTTGGCCGGCGACAGCCCATGACGTGAAATAGGCACCGGGAGAACATGTCATTCACTTCATCGTCTGAAGCTTGTGTTCGAAGCATGGCAGGAAGCCTAGAGGACGCAGTGTCTCGTTCCCTACTCAGGGAACCATGGTTACATAAGTAACCTGAGACGTTCCCTTTCAAGGGAACTTCGAACTG